ACGGAATGGTTTCCAGTTTGGTAAGGGGGTCAAGCAAGGCTGCATTTTGTCAACCTGTCTGTTTTACTTGTATGCTGTGAATGTATCATGCATAAAGCAGGATTAGACTTGGAGGCAGGAGGTGTGAAAAGAGAGGGGAGGAACATCAACAAGTTGAGCTATGCAGATGACACCATCCTACTCGTAGAAAAGAGCAAAGAGATGGAACAATTAAGAGAGAAAGTACAGTCAGATTTATAGCTAAACATTGACATAACTAAAGCCCATTGAGCAGGCATGGGCCAACTTGGGCCATCCAGATATTTTGAACTTCAATCCCCTTACAATTCCTCACAGCCCTTCCTTTTCTCCCTCAGACTGAGGCTGTGAGGAATTGTGGGAGCTGAAGTCCAAAACACCTGGAGGGCCCAAGTTTGCCCATGCCTGCCATAGCTTGAAATACTTCATTGAAATAGTTCAATATTTTCCATACCTTGCTTCAGACATTGATCAAAATGGCAATCACAGTTAAGAAATCATAAGAAAACTAGGACTTGGAAGGGCAGATATGAGGGAATTAGATAAGATCCTGAAAGGTTTAATCAAATACTAAATTTAAGGTGGTTGAGGCCATCACATTCCTCATTTCTATGCCTGGTTACTTGCTTACTTAGTCCATCCCCCATTGTCTGAGGATGGTGGTCCTCCAAGTGCAGTGTCTTGGTGGTGGGTCCATAGGTGGCTGTGGAATCTGATCCACATGTTCCCCCATAGTGAGGACATCAGTTTCCAGGTGGAAGGCGGTCCCATTCAGGGTTGGCTTGCCGTGCCTTCCTCTTGGTGTGTTTCTCCCTTTCTCCCTCCATTCTTGCTCTTTGAATTCTGCAGCACTGCTGGTTACAGCTGACCTCCAGTTAGAGGGTTCAAGGGCCAGGGCTTCCCAGTTCTTGGTTGCCTTTGAGCCTATCTTTAAATCTCTTTTCCTGTCCAACAACATACGTTTCCCATTCTTGAATTGGGAGTATAGTAAGTGCTTTGGGTGATGGTGATTGGGCATTCAGACGATGCCAGTCCAGTGGAGTTGGTGGCATAGGAGCATCGCTTCAATGCTGATGGTCTTTGCTTCTTCCAGTATGCTGGCGTTTGTCCGCCTGTCTTCCTTTTTCCTTCCATTTTCCCCAGCATCATTGTCTTCTCCAAGCTTTCCTGCCTTCTCATGATGTGGCCAAAGTACTTCATCTTTGCCTCTAATACCCTTCCCTCCAGTGAGCAGCTGGGCATTATTTCCTGGAGTATGGACTGGTTGGATCTTCTTGTGGTCCAAGGCACTCTCAGAATTTTCCTCCAACACAATGCTGACTCTCACCCAAACTGGAATTATACACTGGTTTGCTGTAAGGTTTTTGGGCTCTATCAGAAGCATTATCTCCTGACATTTTACCTGCATCTATGGCAGGCATCCTCAGAAGTTGTGAGGTCTGTTGGAAACTAGGAAAATGGGGTTTATATATATGTGGAATGTCCAGGTTGGGAGAAAGAACTCTTGTCTGCTTGAGGCAAGAGTGAATGTTTCAATTGGCCATCTTGATTAGCATTTAATGGCCTAGCAGTTTCAGGTGTGGCTTCTTACTGCCTGGGAGCAGGGGCGGCTCAAACCATTATGCAAAGCAAGTATTTGCAGTATAGTTTATTTTGCCCAGGGGCACTCTTGAGGCGCTCTTGGGGGAAAATAGACCTTGACATATGCAAGCTGTAGTTATTGGGATGTATAGTTCACCTACAATCAAAGAGCATTCTGAACTCCACCAATGATGGAATTGAACCAAATATGGCACACAGAACTCCCACGACGAACAGAAAATATATACCAGTGATTGGTTGTGGGGTGTGTGCCAAAATACTATTTGCTTACCGTTGAAAATTACCTAGGGCCACCTCTGCCTGGGAGCATCCTTTGTTGAGAGGTGATTAGCTGTCCCTGATTGTTTCTTGCCTGGAGCTCAGCTGTCTTTATTTACTGTTATGATTTTAGAGTTTTTTTAAATACTGGTAGCCAGGTTTTGTTGATTTTCGACAACACATTGGAATGATACAATCCCCTTTAATATTGCAGGGCAGTATATCCAACTCCATTCTGCTGCACATGCTGGCTTCTTTTGAGCTCATAAGTCAGCTAAATGCCTCCAAATAACAGTCCCTCCCTGCATCTGTGTTACCCCAGAGCAATTTCCCCTTGAATGGAATCACTCCAGGTTTGGAGGAAAGGAAAGCTCGCGTGGCTCTTTTTATCTCTTATCTATCCCGTCGTTGGCAAAGGGCCGCTGGTGGAGCATTCCTTCCTGCTGCGGTCATGCTGTTCTGCTTTAGAGGCGCCTTGTCACATCCCAAGACGGCTAAGTTCCACTCAACACCATCACACCCAGCATCTCTTCGGTTTGGTGGGAGAAAAACCACCACTAACAAGAGGGAAAAGTACTTGAGAAAATAGCTGCTCTTTATTGATTGTAAAATAATGCAACTCTTCTGGAAAGAAGCTCTCTTGGAGTGTTTTTGTATTACCTAGGCTTAGGAGATGTTTTTAAAAGTTGGAGTTCGAAATGAAGATGGAGAGAGTTTGGACTGCAAAAGGGTCCTGAATTTTCTTCCCTTAGAGCTAAATTCATTACTTTAGCAAAGGCATGGGCAAACTTTGGCCCTCCAGGTGTTTTGGACTTCAACTCCCACAATTCCTAACAGCTAGTAGGCTGTTAGGAATGGTGGGAGTTGACGTCCAAAACACCTGGAGGGCCAAGGTTTGTCTCTGCCTGTTCTAGCAGCAACATTTCATGGAACTATATTATATGGTCAGTGCATTAACTGCATCATGTGGCAGTGTAGATCCAGCTGTAAACCCTTGTGGCCAACAACCACAACGTGTGGTTGAGATAGCAAAATTGTTACTGAGGAAGAACACACAAGTTAAGAGAGGATTCAGCAGTTTTCTTTTGCTTGCACCTTCTGGGAAGGACAATATAGATCAGTGGTTCTCAACTTTCCTAATGCCACGACCTCTTAATACAGTTCCTCATGTTGTGTTGACCCCCAGGAGTGCAGGACATATTGTACATGGCACTCATAGATACATAGATGTATTATTCATATAATAATTAGCAACTCTGACTAAAATAAAAGGGGATTATGTGAACACAACGTGTTTAAAATTATTTTCATTGCTACTTTCATAATCATAAGTATGTAATTTTGCTACTGTTATGGATCATAATGTAAATATATGATATGCAGGATGCATTTTCATGCACTGGGTGAAATTTGTCACAAATTTGAATACTGATGTAGTAGGGGCGACTTATTTTGTCATTTGGGAGTTGTAGTTCACCTACAATCAGAAAGCATTCTGAACTCCACCAACAATGGAATTGAAGCAAACTTGGCACACAGAACTCCCCTGACCAACAGAAAATACTGGAAAGGTTTGATGGGCATTGACCTTGAGTTTGGGAGCTGTAGCTCATCAACATCCAGAGAGCACTGTGGAATTAAACAATGATGGATCTGGACCAAACATGTCACAAATACTCAATATGCCCAAATGTGAACACTGGTGGAGTTTGGGGAAAATAGACTTGACATTTGGGAGCTGTAGTTGCTGGGATTTATAGTTAACTTAAAATCAAAGAGCATTCTGAACCCCCACCAATGATAGAGTTGGGCCAAACTTCCCACACAGAATCCCCATGACCAAGAGAAAATACTGTGTTTTCTGGTGGTCTTTGGTGACCCCTCTGACACCATTCGTGATACCCCCCAGGGGTCCAAAATGCTGATATAGATAATTGCAACACACTCTACATGGGGTTGCCTTTGAAGACTATTTGGAAGCTTCAAATGATCCAGCAGGCAGCAGCCACATTGCTCACCAGAGTGGTGTACAAGGAGCACACAACTGTATCAGCTCCCCAATTGTATCAGCTCCAGTGGCTGCCAGTCTGCTTCCAAGCACAATTCAAAGTGCTGGCTTTAGCCTGTAAAGCCCTAAACGGTTCGGGCCCAGCTTACCTGTCCAAATGTATCTCTCTCTATGATCCTTCTTGGAGGCTAAGATCATCGGGGAAGGCCCTGCTCTTGATCCCACCACCCTCGCAGGCACAACTGGTGGGGAAAAGAGACAGGGCCTTCTCACTGGTGGCCCCTTACCTATGAAACTCCCTCCTCAATGAAATTGGATCTGCTCCATCCCTCCTGACCTTCAGAAAGAAGGTGAAAATGTGGCTCTGGATTCAGGCTTTCAGCCAGTAATGGGAGTAGTTCAATATAAGACTGCAAATTTATATAATGACAACTCGGACTGGCCCTGGAATACAATTTGGAGCATGTGATCTTAATTGTATGTTTTAATAGGTTTGGTTTTAATGTTTGTTTGTTTTTAATTTACGGATGTATTAATATATGGCATTGAATTGTTGTCTTTGTAAGGCCACCCAGAGTCCTGTTTCGGTTTGAGAAGAGATATATATAAATGTGGTAAATACATAAATAATATTCCTCTCCTCTCCTCCCACTGAGCTAGTGGAATGCAAACTACTTTTGCGTTTTGAACTCAGTTTGAAGGCATTAACATAAGCTGAATCCCAAGGACAAAAGTGGGAGAAGGACAGAGAAACCGGGGCATTTTAAAAGCAGCTAAAGAACTGGGAAGACAAAGGATGAGTCAGTGCTGTCCCTGCCAAATCAAAACAATTGAGGGTGATCATTTCATCCATTTTATTAAACAATCCTCCAAATGAAGGGAATTGAAATATTCACATGAATAGAAACCTAATATATCTGGGAAAGACATTCTATCCTGGTCCCACTTCTGTGATGCTATCTTTCCATTTGCAGGGAGGTTTGACTACTAGTCCTCTGCTTCGAGAAATTGGACAGATCTAAAGATACCCATTTCCACGGCTTATATCTTTTGTTAAATTAAATCCTGGAAACTGACAGCGGCTTTTCTTTCTTCTCTTTTTTTAAAATTACAGTGAACTACTACATTAAAGAGGGCACGACAGATCCATTATTGTGCGGGAACAGTTCAGATGCTGGGTGAGTATTGCTCAACGAAAGCTGGAGGAAAGAGCAATAGTTAAATAATCATACCTGCTCTCGGACTCACAAGAGTGAAGAGTTTATACATTGGTGTTGGTAACATTGCTGTTGATCATGACGTTTTCGATATATTACAAGGGAGTATGTCAAATAAGCACATTTAGGAATATGAATAAAGTGTTGTTGTTGTTATTATTATTATTATAGAATATTCCTCTTATTCTTTTTGAAATATTTATATTTATATCATCACATTGTCTCAGAAAAAGCCAGGATTAAGAGCCAGATTCAGGGTGCATCTACACTGCAGAATTCATGCAGTTTGACACCACTTCAACTGCCATGGCTAAATGCTATGGAATCTCGAGAGCTGTTGTTTACAATCCTGAGAATTGTAGTTTTATAAGATACTAGCCGTCCCCTGCCATGCGTTGCTGTGGCCCAGACTGTGTATATGTGTTTTGTGTGTGCATATATGTGTGTATATGTGCGTATTAAAACTTGTGTGCCAGCTGCGCCCATACCTTGGGAAGTCAGACTTGGCCATGGTGGTCCATGCTCTCATTACATCTAGGATAGACTACTGCAACGCACTCTACATGGGTTGCCTTTGAAGACTGCTTGGAAGCTTCAAATAGTGCAACGAGAGGCAGCCAGGTTAATAACTGGGGCGGCATACAGGGAGCATACAACTCCCATGTTACACCAGCTCCACTGTCTGCCAGTTTGCTACTGGGCACAATTCAAAGTGCTGGCTTTGGCCTATAAAGCTCCAAATGGCCTGTCTGAATGCATCTCCCCTTATGAACCATCATGGAGATTGATTAAGATCCTCTGGGGAAGCCCTGCTTTCAGTCCCGCTATTGTCACAGGCACGATTGGTGGGGATGAGAGACAGGGCCTTCTTGGTGATTGCTCCCCTTGCTATGGAACTCCCTTCCTGGTGAGATCAGGTCAGCCCGCTCCCTCCTGTCCTTTAGAAGGATGGTAAAAACTTGGCTGTGGGACCAAGCTTTTGGGACAGGGCAATGAAGCGGCAGTGGGAAAGATGACAGGGCCAATTGGATTTGATGYGAATGGCTAGGACAGTTTTAAATGATGTATTTTAATATTTTGATAAATGTTTTTTAATGTTTATGTATTGTATGTGAATTTGTGTCCCGGCATTGAATGTTTGCCGTGTATATGCTGTGCTCCGCCCTGAGTCCCCTTCAGTGTGAGAAGGGCAGAATATAAAAGTTTTAAATAAATAAATAATAAMTAAATATATGTGGTTTTGCACATGCGCTGTAGCATCGTTTTGCATTTTTGGCTTTTAAGTCCCTTCCACTATGTTTTTCAGTGTTTTCATCAGTGATGGTCACTTGTTGGCCTGATAGGTGTCTTGTGTCCAAATTTGATGTCAATTCATCCAGTGGTTTTTGAGTTATGTTAATCCCACAAACGAACATTACATTTTTATTTATATAGATTTAGCCTTCTCTTCCAAAGAGTGCTAGTGCCTCACCAAACTACAAATCCCAGAATTCCACCGCACTGAGCAATTGCAGCTAAAGGGGTGTCAAATTGCATTAATACCTCAGTCTAGATTCACCCATAGCGTGGACCTAATACATCATTACTAGTCCTGCAGATGTTTGGGAATCTCCTCTTCTGAGGGTCAGGGATAATAGAAGCAGTGACGATTGATGAAACTTGCCAAGACCCAGAATACAATTTCCCAAACAGTGGGGGAGAAGGGATGATGTGTCCTGCTTGTTCAAAGCCACGTTCTTTCGAAGTCTTATTACTGCTTCGTTCTCAATCCATTAATTTTTTTTTGTCTCCCTCTAGAAACTTGATAATGTGTTTGGTGTTAGGGATTAGTGCTTTTGAAGAAAAAAAAACAAAGAGAAAGGAAAGAAAATGGGAATGAGGGGGAAAGGCATCAGAAACGCAAGGGAGAAATTGATTGATGATTAATTCTAGCATTCTGCTTTTGGAGATGGAATGACAAAGCCACTGTTTTTCAAGTCCTTTGGAACATATCCAAATGGGAGATCCAAAGACAGTCGCTAGGAACCATCCTCAGATGTTTGTCAGTCCCTAAGCATCTTTCCATGTATCTGTGCAAGTAAATCTATGTTGGAATACACGTCAATACAGTGCCATGCATGTTCTGCCCAGTCCATAGATTGTGGTATGCCACAAACATTTAATCATTCTGCTCAGACATTAGGAAGTCTGCTAAGACAAAATTAGGTCCAGAACATTGGATAAATCCTTGGAAGTTTAGATTGAAATCTGGAGTGGATCCAATGCATGTAATATTGGTTTACCATATTAGAGAGCTTGATCTAGATCCTGGAGTATATTTGTTAGACCCTATCCTCAGAATAGGAGAACTCCTTGAAAACTTAGGATTTCATTAGAACTGGGGAAAGTGGTAGAAAGTCATCTTCTTTGCATGGGATTTCATCTTTAAAGAAGACAGAGAATTTACATACCCCCATTGCACAGTATCTCCTCCTCCTGCCTCTATGCCTCTAGCTCAGTGGTTCTCAGCCTGTGGGTCTCCAAGTGTCTCAGCCTACAACTCCCAGAAATCTCAGCTAGTTTACCAACTGCTAGGATTTCTGGGAGTTGAAAGCCAAAGCATCTGGGGATCCACAGGTTGAGAACTATGGGTCTAACCAGGGGTGGCTCAAGCATTACGCAAAGTATGCATTCGCAGTATAGTTGATTTTGTCCAGGGGCGCTCTTGAGGCGCTCTTGGGGGAAAATAGACCTTGACATATGCAAGTTGTAGTTACTGGGATGTATAGTTCACCTACAATCAAAGAGCATTCTGAACTCCACCAATGATGGAATTGAACCAAATATGGCACACAGAACTCCCACGACGAACAGAAAATATATATCAATGATTGGTGGGGGGGGGGGGCACCAAAATACTGTTTGCTTACCATTGAAAATTACCTAGGGCCTGTCTCTGGGTCTAACTAAACCCTTCATGAAGGAGACAGAAGACATTGTTCTTAAGAAAAACACAATTAATTTCTATGGGCTCTTTTCCATTCCCTCACAATCATCTTACTTTCAAGGAGACAGAAGGCATCGCTCTTAAGGCAGGCACCACTTCTCTGGGCGCTTCTCTTTTCCCTCCCAATCTTCTTAGTCCTGGTCACGGAAATCCAAAAATTACTAAGCACTAGGACTTATTTTTTGTTGTTGTTTTCTATTTGTTCAATTGCTTCCAACTCTTCATGACTTCATGGATCAGCCCACTCCAGAGCTCCCTATGACGACCCCCAATTACTTCAAAGTCAAACCAGTCACTTCAAGGATACCATCCATCCATCTTGCCCTTGGTCGGCCCCTCTTCCTTTTTCCTTCCATTTCCCCCAGCATCATTATCTTCTCCAAGCTTTCTTGTCTTTTCATTCTGTAGCCAAAATACTTCATCTTTGCCTCTAATATCTGTCTTTTACTTACTTTAATTAATAAAAAAAGAAAAAGAAAAACAAAGTTCAAAAGCTAGCTGTAGTGTAATTTCAAAAGCCATGATTACTGTGAAGGAGAAATGACAAGGAAAACAAAGTCATGATAACTTGAAATTCTGGTATTTCTAATGACTAAATTATTTTTTAAAAATTACCATCCCTAGCTCATGAACCAGGAATTTGGTAGAGAAATGCTTGGTAGGAGACCACCAATAGGAATGCCCATTACTCCATTTCACTGAAATGATTCAATACATGCAAATTTGACAGATCCCATACCATGTGTTTTCCCCCTGCTTTCTCCCAGGAGATCAGAAGGCACTTTCTAACCGGCTCCAGTTCACCTTATTTTCCTCCACTTCAGAGACAGTTTACAGATGAAGCAGCATGGGTGAAAGTCAGAAGTTCCTTTGTGTTGTGTGATGAGATCTGTGTTGCTTCACCTATGAACTGAACTGGGGGAGGGAGGATCTAGCATGTGATGAAGTCCTTGGTCTAAAACCTGGAGTGGATTCTCAATACCTCATCCTCAAAATAAGTCAGTGCATCGAAAATCTCCTTGCAGGTTTGAACTAAAAATGGGACTAGCACATTGGAGAAGTCCATGAAAGTTTAAACAGAAGGTTAAACAGCCCCATCCTTATGCCAACTCCTAAAATTAGTCAAATACAATAGAGAACTCCTTGATAGTTTAGTCAACAATCTGATGTGGGTTTGCTGGACATAGCTCCCAAAATAGGTTCATTACATTGGATAACCCCTTGAAACTTTAGACTGAAATTTGGAGTGGACTCACAGTTCATTCATTCATTCATTCATTAGGCGATCCCTCATTGTGCAAGTAAGATTGTCCTCCAAGTGCAGTGTCCTGGCAGTGGATACATAGGTGACAGTGGAGCGCTATTCTTGATCCGCATGTTCTCCCGCAGTGAGGGCATCGGTTTCCATGTGGAAGGTGGTCCCAGTTGGGGTTGGCTTGGCACGCCTTCTTAGCACATTTTTCTCTTTCACCCTCCATCCGTGTCTCTTCACATTCTACAGCATTGCTGGTCACAGCTGAACTCCAGCTAGAGCACTCAAGGGCCAGAGTTTCCCAGTTCTTGGTGTCTATGCCACAGTTTTAAAGGTTGGCTTTGAGCCCATCTTTAAATCTCTTTTCCTGTCCTCCAACATTCCATTTTCCATTCTTGAGTCCAGAGGAGAGTAACTGCTTTGGGAGATGGTGATCGGGCATTCAGACAATGTGGCCGGTCCAGCGGAGTGAATGGCGGAGGACCATTGCGTCAATGCTGGTGGTCTTTGCTTCTTCCAGCACTCTGACATTTGTCTGCCTGTCTTCCCAAGAGATTTGCAGGATTTTTTGGAGGCAACGCTGATGGAATCATTCAAGGAGTTGCATGTGACATCTGTAGATAGTCCACGTTTCGCAGGCATATAGCAGGGTTGGGAGGACAATCTATATAAATAAAAATGTAATGTTCATTTGTGGTATTCACAGAATTCAAAAACCACTGG